AAAAAAAAAAAAAAAAGCGAGCCAAACAAAACAAAACAACACAAGCAAACCCAACAAACAAACAAAACAACTTCATTCGGAGCTGAAAGTGGCAGGAAAGTGCCCGGCAAGTTGCGGGGATGGAGCTGCACAGCTTGCAAGAGGCGTTAAAAGTGGAAATCCAATGTCATCAGGTAAAAAACGCCACGAGCTGCCCGTGAGCCGCTCCTCGCCCGGCGGCCGGGTCGGGCCGCCCGTGTTGCATGCTGCAGGCAGCGGCGGGGGGCTGCGGGACCGGGGTTGCGGTTGGGGGACCCCCGGCCCCGCGGCAATGACGAGCAGTCGGGCAAAGTAGTTTGGCGGTTTGTTGGCCCGAGTTACGGGGTGCTTCGGGGGTTGCGCCGTTGTTGTTTTGTCCTCTCCCTGCGTGCCGTGGAGCCGGAGTTAGCATTGCGGCTGGGGCTCGTGTGAGTGTGTGCGGGTGTGAGCGGGTGTGCGTGTGCGTGTGTGTGCTGGAGAGATTAGGACGAGACTTGAATATTTATGAGCTTTGCTTGAAACTGACTCGCAGTGTTTACTTGCCTCTTTGTTCCTTACCCCCCTCCCTCCCCCGTCCACACAAATACATACATTTAAAAAAATCCATTAAACTTGAAACAGTTTCTAATTCCTCCTTTTTCGGGGGTGATTTTTTTTTTTTTTTAATAGAAACTAATTGCACAGATGAAGCAAGATCCACAGGTAAATGCAGATCCTTTTTTTTCTCTTCTTCAGTATTTTATCCCTGCCGTAATCAGCGCAGTTATGCTGGGACAGCAGGATGAGAAACTTTATCAGTAAGAGATCTCATTTTGTAGTCTGTGCTGAGCTTTCTTACTAAGGTTGTGTGTTGTGTGTGTGCATGCTTTTGTACGGCTGCGATGGAATGGTTTTGCCTTTGAACAATTTCTAGATCGCAAGTTTATTCATTACAGGGCTTAGTTTCCACTTTGCCTTTAATATGCGTCTTATTGCCGTTTTTGCAGAACGGGGATCTTAAGAAACAAATCCATGAAAGGCAATCAAGGATAGCAGCTCTTAATGAGAAACAAGTAAGGAACAGATCGATTCAGTTCTGTTTGGTTTTTCTTCTTGTTTGTACGATGCACTTTCTAAACATCCAAAAAGTGTCTGCGTTAGCTGAAAAATACCAACAGCAGTGAATATAGCATCCATTTTCCTAAGCGTAAAGTAAGAAAATGCATGTTTTCAAAATGAGATTTGATTCTTGCATGTCTTGCTGGGGGAAAGGATGATTTTAGTACTAGTAGTAAAAAGATAAGCAGTAGTTAAAGCTTTAAAAAAAAAAAAAAAAAAAGAGGCGTCCATTTTGAGTTGGTCGACATGTTTTAGGAATATGGAAAATTCTCCTGTCTTGGGCTACTTTGTGCACTTACGGGTAATGTGCAGAGCAAGAGTTGGGAGCAAGGAGGCTGGAGCCCAGTTTGGAGCCATTTCTGGGTTTGATTACAAAACTGATTTTTATTGATCACTTTATTTTATTTCTTTTCTTCTTCTTTATTTTTTCCTCCCCACTTGCCTTTCTCTTTCCTTGGTCTGATCTGACGTGTTAGCTTTTGATTCGAGTTCACTTAGGCACTTTCAC